GTCTGTATTCTGTCGAAACTGCTAGACGCGGATCGCGATTTCGATCTTTTTGGATCTCATCAGCGCGTCGCAGGCAGCTCCGACAGAACACAGACCAACTTTTACCTGCTGTCTTAACAGGGCGTTTTAGAAAACACTACAAATGGCGCAGTAAACGCCATCTGTGACACGATGCTACATTTTAGCATTACGTATGCTCCAACAAAGTCCACTTGTGTGGATATCTACTTGCTGAAAAGGAATCCCGGCGTAGCCAACCTCAACGTGATAGCCCTGTACTCTTTTTATTACGATTGCCCCCTGTAAACGAACCTCGACTTGTCGGTTGGCGTTGAGGCGTAGTCGGAAGATTCAAATGATCGTTTAAGGAAGTGAATTGATGTATTAGATTGGATCTTCGTTTATTAACAATTAGCATAAAAAAGTAGCGCAAAAAATTCCGGTGGAACTAACGAAGTGTCGAACCTATTTAAAAAATACAGTTTAACATCATTAGTAGGCGACCGGGGGGTCCTATTTGCCATTTTAACTAACGGATCAGATCTATTGTTATCCATCACCTACACTACACTTATAACTAGCTGTATTACATGTAACAGCCCGCAATACGTTTTGAATCTTGTAGATAGATAAGAAGCAAAATGAATCTGTTGCGTCAAACGAACACATCATGTTGCTGATACAACATTATAGAAAAGAAATTGCACAAATGCCTCAACAGGACAAGGTTTAGATAGATACTATACTAATCGCAATGTAACAAAAAAATAAATATTACAGTAATACTGTAAATTATTATTATTGCCTGTGGATGACTCTGTACTTCCCCAGGGCTCCAAGTGTTTAAACCTTCCTCTAGTGGAAATGATAACAAATTTCCCATAAAAACTGCGCCTAACCTTACAACCTAAACCATAATTTACTAATTTTTCTACTGTTTTTCTTGCATAATTTTCACATCTAGTAAAAGGAAATGGAAAAGTGAAAAATGACCAACCTTACCTAACGTAATATGAAGATTGAAAAACCTTTGGCGGTTGTTGTAGAACAAACAAAATAGGACAACTACAGTGGCTTTGGGGTTTGAGCTATTTCGTTTGTTCTTACCTAACGTAACCTAACCAATTCGTATGTAAAAAATACCATAACAACAACATTTTTATATACAGTTTCGACCTCAGATTACACTGTTTTGTTAATTCAGATACATTTATACAAAATGGTATCAAATTTTCCATAAAACAATACACTGATGTGAGATGTTTATATTACAGAATATTATAGTTATTAATGTACTTTACCTACCCATATTGAATTTATGTTTCCTTTCGGTAACACTTCGACCATTCATGGATTTGACAATTAATTGAAAATTCCTGGTTTCGTTTTTGGAAACGGTGACTCCTAGTGTGAAATTTTTCTTTATGTCAACTATGTCCTTTAATTTAAAACCTTTTATTTCTTCGTTGATTCTCTTTTGTATTTTGTTTTCAAAATCACCTTAAAACAAATCAAACGGGTAATAAAATTGGAACATTACTTATTAGATACATAGTTTTTTTAATATATTGTCAGAGTCCAGGGTTGTAAAATTACAAAACAAAGCCTTGGTTACTTATTCATAGAACACTTTACAAGTTGTTTTCACAACAGTCTTTATCGTATCGTCGCACTCAGTTGTTTATTACTTAAACATATTTTTAAAAAGGGATTTCTTTATTATGACATAGTGAACTACAAATTGTACATTAGGGTGGTCGTTAAAAATTAAATTCTTTCGTCCTTCCTTTTGACGAAAAACTACGGGAAAATTTTTGCTTTTTGATTTTTAACAAAAAGAACACGTGCTGACAGTCAATTGAAGTTCATTTTTCGATAAAATTATAGTTTTTCGTTTTGAAAATAAATAAATAATATTGAATATAACTTGGTAGTCATTAAATAAATCTCTATAAATAAATAATTGTATATAAAATTTACAAAATTGTTCATATTTCAGGAAAAATAAAGTTGTTAGTGCTAAAATAACTGACTTAATAAAGTTTATAAGTTTACCAATGAGATTATCTCGATGGATATGAACTTCATCTAAAACCAAAAAAAACCCTTTTGTAGAGAATTTAATTTCCTATAAGCCTGTTTTCATGATTTTTTATCCAAATTTAAATACTGTGTTCAATATTTCAGAAAACTATAATTTTATTGAAAAATGAACTAAAATTTTTTCCCGTAGTTTTCCGTCAAAAGGAAGGATTTTTTTTGGCGTCCGAAAGAATTTAATTTTTAACGACCACCCTATTGTACATTAGGAACATTTTGCTAGTTTCATTGTGCGATAAATTACTAATTATTCATGCAAACAATGTAACTTACCCAAAAGATTTACCAAATCCTTAATCCCAAAGCTGTTATCATTGGCATCAGTTGTTACGTTAGCCAGTTGGCTGAGTTTTCTGATCATATTCAGTTTAGTCACTGCTCTGTCTAATGCCTTCCGGATACAGTCTCCGACATCGTCATCGTCGATACAATTTATGACATCGTTGCTCCAAACGCGTCCAAGTCTTGATTCGTTATTACCGTTGTCCTTTGGAAGGTTTCGATCAGGTCCTGCAGAAAAACCGGCGGGAATCTGCGTCTTAACCAGATGAAAGAAGCACGTGACGAAGAGCAAAGTATTTCCGTACATGGCTAACCAGCCCATCAAGTGGCTGTTGAAAAACAACTGGGAGTTAGAGAATGATGATCATGCAGCAAGAAGAAAAAGGAAGTGTTCTGATTGAAGACAAACTTGACCTAGTATTGATACAGTCGCAATTTAGATTCCAGAAGGTAAATTATACCTCGTTAGGTTGCGGTTATGTTACATGAATTTCCGGTTTTATGTGATCCAGCAACTTGTTTGAAAATAAAAAGGAAAAACACTGGAATCTATGTATGAATCGACTGGTTGTACTACAATTCAAATTTTTGCACTTATATAGACACGCGTTTCGCCAGCATTAATCCTATTCGACAATTTTTGTGGCAGTTTTTTCAAAATAAGGAAATTGTCTGGTAAGAGCACATCATGAGTCAAATTCTGGGTTACAGCTATAAAATCCTGGTGGAGTACTTTGTTTAATTGACGTCGACCATGAAATCGTTATTAGTATTTACTGAAACTACCCGAATAGAATTTATTTTTGGGAACCGGTTGGGTCCCGATTGGGTTTTCCCAAATTTAAATGGGGTCCCAAATGGGATACCCAACCGGTTCCCTATTGGAAATGTAACGCCTTCCCCACCTGGGACCCGGTAGGGAAAGCCTTAATTGGAAAATTTGGGGAAATTCCAAATGAATTTTTATTTTTAAATGTGATGTTACAGGCGAATGATGAGGATATCGTGAGTAGAAAAGGTTAGAAATGAAGAGGTATTGGAAAGAATAGGAGAACAGAAGACTCTATGGCAGTCAATAAAAAATAGGCGAGATAGGTTGGTAGGACACCTTCTCAGGCATGAAGGTCTAGTCAGAGACATATTAGAGGCAGAAACAGGAGTTAGGAGGAGTTTTAGGGAAATGCGAAGGATAAAAAAGAGTGGAGGTACGTGTCCAACCAGTCTTAGGACTGACAACCTTATGATGATGATGATATTAAAATGAAAATAATACATGTATTATAAAGAAAAATATTTTAAGTATAATATGAGTAGTATATCACATGGTGCTATAAGTATAATTTCTACTAAAACTGCATTTTCCGCTAGGTTACGTTCGTTGGAGAGTCACTCACTCTTTCCTCTAATCTAGGCTGCTCTTCAATATCATCATGAGAATCATTTAAATTGTTGAATAAAATAGTGTCATGATTTTCACTTAAAACACTTTCTGGAATTGAATTGTTGNTAGGTTATGTTCGTTGGAGAGTCACTCACTCTTTCTTCTAATCTAGGCTGTTCTTCAATATCATCATGAGAATCACTTAAATTGTTGAATAAAATAGTAATCATGATTTTCACTTGAAACACTTTCTGGAATTGAATAATTGAACGTTGTATCACTGTTACCATTCTCACAAACATTTTCATGACTGAATATTGTCTAACCTCAAATTATCTTCTTCATGTATTAAAATAATTATTAATTACTCTTCAATAAGATTGTAGTTGGGAGGTGCAGTTTGGGCAAAGCTTGGGATTGTCCTAAAATACGCAGATTAAAATTCATTGGGTATAGGTGGGAAATGCCCAATTTGGGAAATTCCAACAATCTCCAATGGGGACCCAACTGGAATTTGGGAATTCCCAAAATAAATTCTACTCGGGTAATGGAATGGAGAAAGCAAAGTTTCCAGTACATTTGTGGCTATTCAAATATCATTTTGATATCACAAAAGAACCCATAAGGATTTCACGGATTCATTTAAAGCAAAGACCTCCCAAGAGTTGTCTTCGTAATAAATGAACTTTTTAATTAATAGTCTCTCAAATAAAACCCGTTGCGTCCAAATTTAAAAGATCGGAACATTCCTAATGTTCTAACGCTTCACCGTGTTGGAAATAATCATTCAAATAAATCATTCCCGTTTCAATTTGTCTTTTAAATTCACTCTCATTTACAACTCTACCTGAAGTGCATCATCAAGTAAGCGAAAGCCCTTGAAATGGACTTGCCGGTAGGTACCGTTATGGACTTCTTATTACGTATTTGTAATTCTCTGCTGCGGCATCATAATTAGACCCCAATGAAGCTATTACGATATGTTAAAGACCGTCTTTTGATAATCTAGCATTCTCAATACACCAGGAAACTTCTATATACAGAAGTGTTTGAGGAGCTAATTATACAGAAGTGTCTTACATGGCATCTTACAATTTATTATGCATCAAACATGCATCAAATACATGCTCTGTTTTGGATGTTTCTATGTAAACTTAATCAGTACAATGTCATTTGTGACATTTTTGTTGTAAGGGTGGAGTAAAGAGGGAATGTCCTATATTTTACTTCAATGTCATAAATACAACACTACCTAAGCATATATGAGCATAGTTAACTAGCTAAATAACGTACAGTTGAATTCGTTTATTATGAATCCGCCTATATTGACCAACCGCTTAATATGAAGTAATTGCAGTGTTAAGTTTGGTTTTCATATTAAATTGTCTATAGGAAAGTTTGGATATAATGACTCCGTTTAAAATGACATATCGTTTATTATGACTGATTCTCAAGGAATCATATCCGGTTATAATGATCCAATCGATTAAAAATAACATTTTCGCTCATTTTTCTGACTTTTTATGTATATTGATATTACAATTCATCGTTTTTTTTTTCTTTTTCTGTTAATAAATACGTACAATTTGTAGTTTTTCTCTCTATTAAACTAAATAACTAACCAAAATAGAAAGTTGTTTATTTTCTAAGACTATGCTTTGTATGACGCCCGCTTAGTAAGACGTGTTTGTCATTTCCCTTCGATGTCATTATAAGCGGATTCTACTGTATATGAGAAGTAGAAATAGCCCAGACACGACAGTCCATATTCAGAAAAGATGGTTGGATTATTACATTAAAGTTGTTCTTTTACTTACACGCTTATTTAGCTGGAATCAAAGTATGTAAATAATAACAATAACTTTATTAATTTAAACAACGTTTGCGACTAAGTATTTAAATACAATGCAGTGTTGTCACTATCGATCGGGTGCCCTAATCAGCGAATTGAGGCGACCGTCAAGACCAGATAAATTGATCCTTTTGATCCTGTGCTCCATATTACTATGTGCCTAGAGAAGATTTTTTTTATTCTCTTCCTATATATTTACGTTAATATTTTTTGCAATTTCATGTCTTTAGGTCTTTTGGAAACCCCTTTATGGAATTTTTTTCTTTGACAACTAATCTAACTTTTTTGCCTTGTCTTAAACAGATTTATATCCTTTTAAGTGTCTAATAATTAAATTAATAATAACACGTATTAGTTAATTAACACGTTAACTATCCAATATTAGATTTAATTGGCCGGCCCATTATTTTCTGGTACAATTAATTTGTGTATTGAGATAGGGGACTAAATTAACGCGAAAAAAAAAACAATTTGGGAAACAATGATATTGCAAAGTCATCGGCGAGCCACTCAGACAGCAATTTCTACTTCAAAGCTTTTGCACAACATCAACACGCTATGATAGCTTCATCCTTTTAAATTTTCTTTTGTTTATTAGTCTTCGCCTTTTTTTTTTCTTCTTCCTCTTTTATAGAAGATGAATCGATTCATGTAGTTAATTCACATTTACTTATCAACGCTTTATTAAAAGAACAAACAAAAGAATACACAACCTCGGAATAAAAGTTTAATTATGGTAGGAGCAACAATAAACGAAAGTCACTATTACAGACCATCGTAATATATCGGGTTGTTCGGAAAGTCATTTCGTTTTATCCCAACAGAGGATTTAATTGTATTCTTTTGCACCCAACTTCACATTTAAGCCGTATAATTTTTATATGCTTTGAGAGCTCATATAGCAAGGCTTGTGTGTGAAAAATTCCAATTAATTCTACGCAGTAGTTTTTGGTTGGTGCCCTTTTACATATGGAGAGCGATAAGCAGCATTTTCGACATATCTTACTGTTTTACTACAGAAAGGGTAGTTCAAGCCAGAAAGAAATTGACTGATGTGTATGGAGAAGGTGTGTTGACAGTACGCCAGTGCCAGAACTGGTTCGCTAAATTTCGATCCGGCAATTTTGATGTCGAATAACAACACGTGAAATCGGATTGAGGTTAAATTTATCAAATTCAACAGTTTATGACCACTTGATAGGCCTGGGATTATCCTTGAAGCTCGATGTATGGGTTCCCCATGTTCTCACAGAGAGAAATCTGTGTCGCCGCATTGACGTCTGCGATTCGCTTCTCAAACGTCACGAAAATGATCCGTTTTTGTAGCGCATCATCACTGGGGACGAAAAATGGGTTGTATACAGCAACGCCAAACGCAAGAGGTTATGGAGCAAAAAAGATGAACCGGCTCAAACCATTTCCAAAGCCGATATTCACCAAAAAAAGGTGATGCTGTCTGTTTGGTGGGATTTTAAAGGAATCGTTTTTATTGAGCTTTTACCGGATAACACAACGATTAATTCGGAAGTCTACTGTCATCAGCTGGACAAACTGAATGATGCACTTCAACAGAAAAGGCCAGAACTAATCAACAGCAAAGGTGTAGTGTTTCACCAAGACAACGCGAGACCTCACACAAGTTTGGTCACTCGCCAAAAGCTTTTACAGCTTGAATGGGATACAATGCTACACCCACCATATTCTCCAGACCTGGCACCATCGGATTATTATTTGTTCCGGTCACTCCAAAATTTTTTAGACGGTAAAAATGAGGATCAAAAACCTCCTCGATCAGTTTTTTGCCAGCAAAGACCAAAAATTTTATGAGCGTGGAATTATGCTACTACCAGAAAGATGGCAAAAGGTGTTGGACCAGAACGGTCAATATATAATTTAATAAAGTATTTGTTTATTATACGAAAACTGTCTTTCATTTTCACAAAAAAAAACTTTCCGAACAACCCTATATATACATAGGATTTATTTTATTTTACTTGATGAATCATTACAACATCATTAATTCAATACGATCCATAAAATTATATTGAATGCTATATTATTGATTCATGAAACTGATTTCTTTACTCTCAGTGGTG